TTGAAGTTTTTTTTTTTAATTACTTTATTATAAATGAAAATAAAGATATAAAAAAAAATTTTTTGGTTTACATAAGAAATTTTTTTTTTTTTTTTATAACCTAAACGATCTTGTTTTTTATTTATTAAGAGAAAATATTAATAATATTATTATAGTAAAATAACTTAATTTAAACTAGCTACAAAATTGCTTTCTTTATCTAATTCTAAACTTACTCAACTACCTTAGATGCCTAAGTATGATCTGTCACAAAAGTAATTTTTCTCTTAAAAAAATAGTTTGTTTAAACAAATTTATATTCTAATAATCTAAGAAAGGCTCTCTTATACTTGTATCAAGATTCTTTAGTTATTTTTAAAGTTTAATTAGCTTTTCTTTGGTCTTTTTTTAATTCATGTCTTGACTTTAGTTTCAGTTATGTATTAGTATCTTGCTTTCTTGTTTTTATTAAACTCTTCAAGCTTTTTTTTGTTAAAGTTCTAGTTTTCTTTATTTACTTACATTAGCAAATTTAAATAGTGAAATCTTTCGAAAGAATTTTCATGATGCAAAAAATCTGAAATATTTCGCAAATTATTTCAAAATATTTCGAAAGATAACAATTTCGAAAATTTTCAAAATATATTTCGAAATATTGTGAAAACTCTTTTAAAAGATTTTTGACAATTTTCGAAAGATTGCGAAATAAGTTATTACTCACGATCGTTATTCATTGCTACATATAAAAGTTTAAATCTTATTAAGTAAATCAAATTTGTCAATTAAATACAATTTATTCGAAAGGTTAAACACACCAATTCTAAAATTTTCATGTAAATTAAACAACCTTTTACTAACATGTTTTTACATATTACGTTCGACGAAAAAATCAAAAATTTCTTTAAAAATTATATTAATTGAACGTAAAATGCAAAAACGTATTAGTAGAAAGTTATCTTATTTGTATGAAACTTTCAGGATAAGTGTATTATAACCTCCCGAATAAACTTTACTTAATTAACAAGGTTGATTTACATAATAAAATTTAGACTTTTATATGTAACTATTACTTGTGACTGTTTAAAAATCAATTATTATTGCTAAATACTTATTTATAAATTACTGTAAAGTCCCGAATATAAGCAACCCCCTAAGCCACCCATTTTAGCTAAATTTTTTCGGAGGGTTGCTTAAATTCGGGACTTTAAAATACTCGATTTTTATTGGTCTATTATCTTATATATTAATAACCAACTTGCATTACAGTACAGTTGATCATGATTTTTCTTTTAAAAATCCATAAGCATAGGTTATACTGGTAGAATAAAAAACAAATAATATTGGTCTTTGTTATCAATGTGAAATTAGAGTTTTAAAGAATGGACGCAATTCAAATTTACCAGTTTTACAAGTTTCACATAATAAATTATATATCGGGAATAAATTTTTAAAAAATTTAAAATTCGTCAATCCATTATAAAAAAAAAAGACTATAATATACCCTGTAAGTTGTGAAATAAAACACAAATTTATTTTACAATTGAATGTCTGAATTCTATTATTCAGTTTTATTGTATAGACTTATCTTGAATGCAAATGATGTACATACATACGTTATGGTATCCTTTTTTTTTTTAAAAAAAAAAAAATGCATTAGTGTTGTACCACATTTTATACACACTGTATTTTTCTAAATCAAGATTTTTTTTTTTGTACATATCTTTTTTGCGTTGAATACCAGTAGTTTAGTTTTTTCACATACTAAAAAAAAAAAAGAAACCAAAAAAAACCCTGTAAGACTAAAACAAAAACAAAAAAAAAAATGAATACTGTTATTGGCAATAACAAGATAGTTAAAGTTAGAAGTCATGTTCAAAGAACTTCTTATAAGGTATCAGAAAAACTTACCGTTATTTAAAAAACAAAATGGATTGGTGTTTTTGCTACTTCATGTCACTTTAGTATTGATCAGTCTATGGTATTACGATAGAAGAATAATGAAAAAAATTTAATAATATTGTATCTGGTAACTGATATGTTAGTGCAAGAAGAACTTCATTTTACCTAGCTGCTGAAGAAGAGCTTATTAAATGGTTAAATGAACTTCAACAAATAGAAATTGCAGTAATATCAGATTCTATTAAAATGCAAATGTATACAATTTTATTAACAACCTGTGCAGATAAATATCCAGGTACTTCACAACAATTTCATACATCCAAATCTTGGTTTTACCAGTTTTTAAAATAACACCAACTTTCTCTTTACTGTCGTACTAAAATTAGCTAAAAGTTACCTGAAGATCTTACTGAAAAAATAATTGAATTTTATAAATTTGTAATTCAAGCTCGATTAAAATATCAGTATGATCTTTCTCAAATTGTAAACATGGATGAAACACCTGTTTATTTTGACATGACAAGTTCTTATACAATTAATAATAAAGGTGCTAAAATGGTTCAAATTAGAACAACTGAAAATAAAAAAAACCAGTTTACTTGTGTTTTGGCAATTACAGCAAATGGTAACAAACTCCTCCCTATGGTAATTTTTAAAGGTGTACGAATTTCCTCTAATCTGCCTCGTGGCATTGTTGTATATATACATGAAAGTGCCTGGATGGACGAAAATTTGATGAGCGAATGGATTGACCAAGTTTAGAACAAGCGACCTGGAGCATCAATTGTAAACAAACCTTTGTCTTTGCTTGTGATAGATTCATTCAAAGGATATCTTACTGATATTGTAAAAAATAAATGTGCAGTTAATAATATTCATAAAGCTATTATTCTGGGAGGTTTAACATCAATTGTACAACCTTTAGATGTGAGTATTAATAAACCATTTAAAGACTGATTAAAGGAAAAATGGCATTTGTGGATGAGTAAAGGTGAATTTTAGTTAACTAAGAAAGGAAATTTAAAATGACCATCATATAGTTTAATTTGCTAATGGATTTTAGAAGTGTGGGATGATATTTCTGCAGAAATGATTATTAAATCATTTAAAAAATGTGGTATTTCTAATGAATTAGATAGGATAGAAGACGATTTATTATATAATTCAGATCAAGAGAATAGTGAAATCGATGATAATGAAGATTTGTTTGAGGTAGTTGAAGAAGATAGTTTATCTGCTGAAGAACTAGAAGATTAAATTGATTTTTTTGTAAAAAATTTGAATTGAAATTAATAAAATTTATAATAAATTTTATATACAGTATACATATTTAGTAATTTTTAAAAAAGGGGTTGCTTATTTTATTTTTCTAGCATTTTGATCTCGAAATGCAGGGTATTGCTTATTTTCGGGGGTTGCTTATATTCAGGACTTTACGGTAATTGTAAATAAGTATTTAGAGATAAGTATTTATGAATAATTATTTATGTTCATGATTTTAATTCTACTGATTAAC